GTTGTTTCCATTATTTGCTATTGTAAATAGTGCTGTGATGAACATGGGTGTGCATATATCTGTTCTTGTCCTGGCTATCACTTCTTTAGGATATATACCTAGTGATGGGATTGCTGGGTCAAATTAATATTTCTAATTCCAGCTTTTTAAGGAATCGCCATACTGTTTTCCACAGTGGTTGTATCATTTTACAGTTCCACCAGCAGTGTACGAAAGTCCCAGACTCTACACATCCTTGCAAGCATCTACCATTTTTGGTCTTGTTGAACTTTGCCATAAGTGCTGGGGTGAGGTGGTATCTTTTTGTTGTTTTGATTTGAATCTCTCTGATAGCTAATGATCATGAGCATTTCTTCACGTATTTGCTGGCTGCCTGAATATTCTCTTTGGTGAAGTGTCCATTCATGTCTTCTGCCCATTTTTTAATTGGATTGTTAATCTTTTTGTTGTTGAGATGTTGGAGGTTTCTGTAATTTTAGAGATAAGTCCCTTGCCAAATAAGTAATTATCAACAAGTATGAATTGGTTGCAGTCATTTTCTTACATGCTTTTTCGAGGTATAGATTTCTTTGTTCCATATAATTTTCTGTGCTGAGCTCATTTTGTTTATGAAACGTGTTATCACTTCCTTCATTGCTATTGTTTTAGTATTTGCTAAATATTTGTACTGGTCCTCTTTAAATTTTAATGTGAAGGTTTATCATTTTTCTTTGAGGTTACCATATGATATATTCTTCTCAAGTTTAGAACAGTCCATTCTATCTTGTATTTGTCTTGATTTCCCTACTATTCAGAAGTTCTGTAACTACACAGTTTTTCTCCACTTTTTGGTTTGTAGTCGTCTTCATTTGTCAATTGATGTCTCTGGTTCCCTGTTTACAATCTTGTAGGCTTATTTACTTTGTATACTTCTGTAACTGGGTTGGTTTCTGGGTTATGTTATCATGTGTGTTAATGGTCAGTTGTTGTTTGCTGTTGTTAGTTCTCTGTCCAGAGGACTCCCTTTAGCATCTCTTGTAAGGTTCGTCTGGTTTTAACAAATTCCCTTAATTTCTGCTTATCTAGAAATGTCCTAATTGCACCGTCATATTTGAGGGACAATTTTGCCAGGTATGTAATTCTTGGTTGGCAATTTTTTTCTTTCAGGGTTATTTATATATATATATATATATATAGCCGCCTTCTTGCCTGCATGGTTTCTGCTGAGAAATCCAAACTGAATCTGATTGGTTGACCTTTGTAGGTAACTTTTTGCTTTTCCAAGCTGCTTTCAGGATTCTTTCTCTGTCTTTGGTTTTGGTGAGTTTGATGATGATACATCTTGGTGATTTTCTTTTGGGGTCTATTCTGTTTGGGGTTCGTTGGACTCCTAGAATGGATATATTCTCATCTTTCATCACACCAGGAAAATTCTCCTCCAACAAATCTTTGACAATTTTTTCTGTAGTTTTATTTGTCTCTTCCTGTTCTGGAATTCAAATGACATGTAGTTTATTCCTTTTGACAGTATCCCACATGAACCTTAGGCTTTCTTCATTTTGTTTTGATCTTTTTTCTGATTGTTCACTTTCCAAAGGAGTATTGAGGTATTTTCCTTCAATCTCACTAATTCTGTATTCCATTGATTCAATTCTACTCCTTTGCCCATTTCATGAGTTACCTAAAGTTTCTGAAAATTTACCATTAATCTTCTGGATTTCTGTGTGTACATTTTGTATCATTTCTCCTTTTTCATTTTTGTCATTTTGTTCTTATATTGTCTTTCAAAATTGTTCTAGGGTTTTTCTGTTTTCTTCAATTTTGTCAGTGTTTTCCTTGATCTGTCTCTCAGTTCATTGAAGGTACCTAAATATAATTCTTATGAATTCCTTACCAGTATTCCAATGCTACGTCTTCTTCAGGGATGTCTTTTGGGACTGTATCCAAGTCCTCTGTTTGTACTGCTTTATCTTGCATCTTTGTGTGGACTGTGAGGCTCTGTTGTGTCCGAGGCATTGTGACGTTTTTGTGTTTATATTTATTTGGTGATTGTATGTTGGAGTGGCTTGCCCATTATTTTCATTTTCTTTGTTTTGTTTGGCTGTTATCTATGAAAGCAGGGTACTGTGCTGTGCTGCTCTATTTGCTAGTTGGCAGCACTTGTACACTTGTCACCTGTCTCCTTTCCTGTTGTCTGCCTCCTATATGTCCCTGATGTCCTTGGCAAAAGGACCTATTCTTAGGTCCTGTTTTTGTTCCGGTTTTTCCTCTAGTTGGTCCCTAATCCACTTCTGTATACTTTCTTTCAAAGCTCAGGGCTCCAGGATTATCTTCTGTATCTCTGTCACTTGGTTTCTCCTTTTTTTTTTTTTTTTTGTTGAAGAGGGTATGTGGAGCTTCTCTGCTTATTCTGGTATCTTACCGGAAGTCACCAAAAATGAACTCTAATTTATGATACATTTTTAAATAAATGATTTGTCAAAATGCCCTTCATTTTAAATATATTTAGTAAGACTTGATTTATGCTGGACAACTGGGATACATACAAAGGTGAAAAAGACAAGCTCCTTGCCCTTGAATGTTTCATGATCTGTATAAATTGTCTTGAAATTGATTGATTATATAACAGAAGTATCTTCTAAGCATATAGGAAAAAGGAGTATTCAACAACTAAATAGGTATTTGAGTATGGTAACATTAGGTTTCAGGGAATAAGTTTGTGTAGAATTTTGAAGGCCTGTTTAGAATGGGCTAGGAACACAATAAACGAACAGAATTTCAGACAGAAGGGACCAAGTATATAAGAGTATACAAGCATTGAATGAATGAATAGCATGTTGTGCCATGTGCATGCAGACTACCTGATAGGACCAGGAAATAGTGGCTCTTTGATTTAGTTGGAAAGGCAGTGTCTTAGTTTCTTAGTGCTGGTGTAACAGAAAAACCACACGTGAGTGACTCTAATGAACAGAAATTTATTTTCTTATAGTTTAAGAGTCTAGAAGTCCAAATTCAAGACACTGGATCTAGGGGAAGGCTTTCTTTGTTGTCTCTGGGGGAAGATCTTAGTCTCTTTTCAGCTTTTATTATTGGTTCCTTGGCAATCTTCTTGAAGCATGTATCTTCCCCTCCATTTGTACTTGTTTTTTTGGGCCTAATGTGTTCTTTTATATCTTAAAGATTAGCTTAAAACACATCCTACACTGATAGGGCATAATTAACATAAGAAAGAAAATCCTATTTAAAAAAATAGGATTACTTCCATAGGTATAGGAGTTCAGGATTTCTAACACATATTTTTTAGGGGTACAATTCAATCCATAACAGGAGATAATGACCTTTTCTTACATCATACTAGAAAAGTTGGATTTTTTATCAAATTATTTTTTTCCCTTTTAGGTGAAAGGGAGGTATTGATGGATTTTAATTTAAGCAGAGAATAACAATTAGATTTACATGTTTGAGAGACTGCATTGGATGTGTAGAAGATGATTTAGAGAAGACATCAGAACTGTAGGAGGGATACCATTAATACATACTGCAATTCTCAGGGCAAAATAGTATGGGCTGAACTATAGAAGGAAGAATTACAATATATAGAAAGTTTAATAAGAATTGATGTCCAGTTGGATGTGTTGGTCAGGGAAGAGTTGAGAGTCAACCATGATACCAAGATTTCTGCTCCTACTTAGGCAATTGAGAAAAAAGGGAAAAGTTTTGGTTAAAAGTAAAGTTTCATTTTGGAGACACTGAGTTTGAGTATTTTTAGAACTTTGGCTATTGTCATCCAATAAGACTTGAAAATAAAGGTTAGGGATTAGGAACGGGGTCTGGGGCCAGTGATAACAGAATTGTGAATCATGGAAATGTTTTATGACATCGGAGTTGATGTGATCACAAAAGTAGAACTAGAAAAGAAGGAACAAGATAAAATCCTAAGGGACTTCAGCATTTAGAGGGATTGTAGAGCTACAAAAACCAACACAGGAAGAAAAAGATGTAGGCATCAGAAGCTTAAGGGAAAGTCAGGAGAGAGTTGCTTTAGATGTTTTTTTGCCATGGAAGCCAAAGATAGGGAAGTCTTAATGCAGGAGAAGTGCATAATGTAAATGCTGCAGAGGGCAAATAAGGTAAGATTTAAAAGTAATCATTGGATTTGGCAACTGTATAGTCACTAATAGCCTCACCAAAGTGGCTTCAGATGAATGGTAAGTGCAGAGGTAACTTTTTAAAGTAAGTCAAGGGTCTACAAACTACAGCCTGCAGTCCCAATAATATCCCAGGGCTTGTTTCTGTACTGCCTCCAAGCTAAGATTGGTTTTTACCTTTTTTAAAGTACTGTAAGGAAAATCACAAAAGAATATATGACAGAGACCCCTATTGCCCACAAAACCTATCTGGCCTTTTACAGAAATTCCTTGCTGCCTCCTGGTATAAATGAAAATAATAGATTATTACTGTTTCAAGATGCTTGACTGGCAAAGATAGCAGCAAGGATTTATCACCCCAGAGAGAAATAGATAGGACTGACCAAACCTTCAAAAAACAAAACAAGGAGGTGAAAAAAAAAAAAAAAAAAGATTCACATTTATAATTTTAAATAGTCCTAGGACAGTAGTTAAAATCAAACACCTTCATTGAGACCATACATGTCAGATATAGGCATATTTATATATGTCAGCTAAACTTATAATTTTATACATTATTTTCCTTCTTATAATAGGAGCTCTGGTAACATAGTGCCTAAGGCACTTGACTGCTAACCAGAAGGCTGGTGGTTCAAACCCACCAGCCACTCCTCGGAAGGACGGTTGGGCAATCTACTTCCGTAGTGATACCGCCTCGGAAACCCAAGGAGGAGTCGCTATGAGTTGGGGCCGGCTTGACGGCACATAACAACAAAAACAACAACAAACTTACGATTTTAGAATACATTATTTTCCTTCTTATATTGTAATATGCACGAGTTTAACTATGTTCTTGGCAAGGCAGTTTATCTTTACCTTTCTTTTTTGTTTTAGATGGTAAAAGAACTATTGCTAAAAAGTGCCATTTCTTTTAATCCTTCACATTTAGGAATTGATGGTGTCCATAATTACATGAAGTTTAATGCAATTGCCAATGATATAGATGAATATAGAATTAGTATATGAAGTCTTAATATTTGTTTATGACTTCTATCTTTAATGTTCTCCCTCAAAAAACATTTTCTAATATTAAAAAATCCTTATTTGATTGGAGTAAAAATTAAATCTGTGTCTATTGTTTATGCTTAAAATGCACCTTATTCTAAATGATATCACCATTTCTTAACTTTGTCCCTTATCTCATTTTGTTAATTTCAAGATATATTTAAATTAAATAAAAATGTTTACTTTCACACTGCAAAGTGTCTGTCAGTTGATACTTTCCTCGTTACATTCTTTTCAGCAAGAATATATTGGGCATTAACTAGGTGCCCTGCATTATCATTTATATTAGGGATATAAAATTAAATAAGAACTGTTTATGGTCTCAAGTAGATCTAGGCAGAAATAATCTCAAAGTATATGATTAAATTTCATGTGATTAAATTTAGATTAAACACATTGTAATGTTTTCATTGAGATCTTTATTCTAATTGGATGTCAGTTCAATGTGGATAATTTCAAGTGTCTGAGAGATTTACCCTGCAAATTCCCTTCAAGAAATCTTTAAGCTGTAAAGTCAGAAAATATTAAATTTTTATACAACAATTTCATTGTTTTACTGTTAAATTATAGCAAAGGAAGATGCAAACTGTGCAGTGTGCGACAGCCCGGGAGACCTCTTAGATCAGTTCTTTTGTACCACTTGTGGTCAGCACTATCATGGAATGTGCCTGGATATAGCGGTTACTCCATTAAAGCGTGCAGGTTGGCAATGTCCTGAGTGCAAAGTGTGCCAGAACTGCAAGTAAGTTTTAATTTCAGCTCAAAAGTCTATATTGAGTCTAAGAGAAGTGCTCAAGGTTTGTGTAATATGATAAAGGTTGTTACTATTGCAGCTATCTATATTCATTGAAACCAACTTTATAATGTCTTTAAAAAATTGCCAGAGTACTTATTAAGATTTTTATCATTTGAAACAAGCTAAATAAAACAAATTTCAATAATTTAAATTCCTCTGGTTGTCTACAAAGCTAATTTAAATTTGCAGAAAACTTTCAAATGAATCATAGTAACAATTTAAAATTAATAAGCATGCAAAAAATAAGACAGTTTTTTTTTTTAATTGAAGGAGACTGGAGAGAAGATTTAAAAGGAGAACAAACCTTTAACTTTAGAAATTAGTTATCACAGTTGAGCCAAAAAATCAGTGATACATTTGAATTTTCATTCAAGGAAGAACAATATATATTAAAACTATTGTTTAAACACACACACAAACACACTTTAACTGAAAGACATTACCTTTGATGCAGCCTACTCTCCATTATTCTAAAACAAGGTATTTAGTGGTTTTAAATGGAGTTTATCTTTTCCTATTTGTTGTGTTTCATCCTTTGGTCATTTCTCCAATTTTTTTTTTTTTTTTTTTTTTTCCCCCTCATGCTACTAACTAGCATGCTAATTTGGGAATGTTACCAGCATCTTCAACAATCTTCAGGTGGATAACAAGCTGAGAGTTTTTGTAACCAAGAGAATTATTCCCAGCACTGCCATGATCAGTCTTTTATTACTTACTGAACTTGATTTAAAAAAAAGCATCAGTATCTTGGATTTAGTGGAATAAATAGGACCATATGCTTTCATATATTGGTGAAATTTAAATACCAGCAAACCTTTATTTTACACCTTGTATGTGCACTTACTTTCTTGGGAAGAAATAAGAGAATCTGAAGAAGATTATTTGTTCTCATAGATCTTTCATGTAACTGAAGATAGAAAATACTCAGTTGTATATGTAGAATGTATTGAACTAAATAAGAAATAACTGGAAACCAAGTAACCCATCTTCTTTTTTACTTCTACTTATCCCTAGGTTTTATCCAGAGGTTCTTCTCTCAACTCATCATCTTGTATTACCCAGTTTTTTCTTTTTTCCTCCTCTTGAATTAAACTCTTAGTATCTGGAAGTGATTGTGATTAAGAGCCAAAAATAAGGCAGAGATCATGCTGTAGGGCAGGGCCCAATTTTGGGGATAGATAAGTGTTTAGGAAAAGGTTTTAGTATTTTTACTATGATTTGTAATAATGACATGATTATTATTCTTAGTACATATTTATTTAGCACTTATTATTTAATGACTACTCTAAGCTCTTGAACCAACATTTATAGTTAATTCTCACAGTAATCCTTGGTTATTATTATTCCCATTTTATACCTGAGACAGCATAAGTTTAAATGCCCAAAGTCTCACAGCTTTGAAACAGCAGTCTGAATGCAAATACAGTCTCAATACCCAATATGATCTTCTTTACATTATTATTACAATATCTTTTCAATCCATGGTGCCAAGATTTATTCCTTTCCATGCGGCATCACTTAGCAGTTATAGCTCCTTCCCCAAGAAAATATGGGTATCAGATGTCTTAAAAAGGAACGATCAGAGGTTATGTATCTTGCCTTAATTCCTCTTCCTTTGCAGGAATTGTAAAAATGACTAAAGCAAGTTAACCACAGCGGTATGTTAAGCATACTCTTTAGGGACCATAGGAAGAGGTCTGTTTCATCCTCTTTGGGGTAACCTCTCATTATCTGCTCAGAGACAAAATATCACTGAAGTATTTATGAACTGTGCAATTCCCAGGATCAGTTCTTTTCATGGTTACTTATAAAACGTAACTTTAAAGATAAGGCATCATTAATACTATCTTACTTTTTTAGACAATCGGGAGAAGATAGCAAGATGCTAGTGTGTGATACTTGTGACAAAGGGTATCATACTTTTTGTCTTCAACCAGTTATGAAATCCGTACCAACAAATGGCTGGAAATGCAAAGTAAGTTGTTTGTTTATTTATTTTTAAATATCATTTATATGTTCTATATGGAGCAGAGAAATTAATATCTATCCAACTCTATACATTATCACAAAAACACAACTTTATTGAAGTATAATTGATATTCAATAAACTGCACATAGTAAAAGTTTATAATTGGAGAAATTCATACACCCATGAAACCATCATCACCATCAAATTAATGAACATATCCTTCACCCTCAAAAGTTTTCTAGTGCAGCCTGGTAATCCTTCCTTTCTAACTGTGCACCTTTCATCCCATGCCTTCCTAGGCAGTCGGTTTTCTGTCACTAGAGATTAGTTTGCACTTCTAGAATTTTATATAAATGACTTTGTGCAGTGTATACTATTATTTTTATATATAATTTTTTGGTTTGGCTTTTTAACCCAACATAATTACTTTGAGATTCATCTATGTTGTTGTACAATAGTGATTTCTTCTTTATTGCTGAATAGTAGAGCTACCACAATTTGTTTATTGAATCTCCTGTTGATGAGCATTAGGACTATTATAAATACTTACATTTGTATGGTGCTTCCTGACTTAGAAATTGTTTTTGAATGATTAATCTTCCCAGTAACCCTCTAAAAGAAATGGTATCCCGTGAGGAAATTGAAGCAGGGATTTTTAAAGTCCATTAATTTATAATCCATAGAAAAAATACATTATCATTTTTATAGATTAGCTTTTAGGGTCCTTATTTTTTATGTACATATATTTATCTGGGAATACATTTATGTATATACTCTATTAAATATTTAGAATCATATGGTATATGCAGCTTTTGTGTGTTCCCCTCCCATTCCACCCCCAAGGAAGTTTTAATTAAGTGATTTTGACTCAGATACTTATTTTTTAGAGGCTACCAAAACTTTTTCTTGGTTTTGAGATTCAGACAAGATTTGTAGACATTTTTCCATTTCTTTTTCACTGCTTAAGATAGTAAGACTTTCTGAGTGGTGGTGGTGGTTGTTATGTGCAGTGCAGTCAAGTCAGACCCGACTCGGGTTTCCCCTCCTTGGTTTTCTGAGGCAGAATCACTATGGAAGTAGATTGCCCTATCTTCCTTCCGAGGAGTGTTTGGTGGGTTTGAACCACCAACCTTCTGGTTAGCAGTCAAGTGCCTTAGGCACTGTGCTACCAGAGCCCCTGGGCCTTTGACTGTTGTTGTTGTTGTTATGTGCCGTCGAGTCGGCCCGACTCATAGCGACCCCTCCTTGGGTTTCCGAGGCAGTATCACTACGGAAGTAGGATTGCCCAACCTTCCTTCCGAGGAGTGGTTGGT